CCCCTATGCCCATGCAGTGTGCACCTACAGCAGTCAGAGGGAGCAACTGTGCTATGGAGGAAAGTCAGACTTATTTTGGGGTCCTCGCCACCACACTACAGGTTTTCAAAAGTGTAATACTGACATTTCTGGGTCTTGTTCATGCCTGTACATTTTCAATTTGATGTGGTTAAACTAGTGCAAGCTTTCACATGCATGTTTATCATGCCTTGACCTCCATCAAAACAATTAGAAGAAAATTACAGAGTTCACAGTTACACAGTATTTTTTCTGAAGATTATACGCACCCACTTTAAAATTTGGCCTACTCTCTCTGACTTGGCTCACAGAACTGCATTTCCACTAGTCAGCAGCTGAGCACGGCAGGAAGAGAGGATTCAATAATAAGCTGGCCTGGAAAGTCCAGCTGCTTTAGGTGTAGGTGTGTGTTTGCACAGACATGGCAGCTGAGTGGCAAAGGGGCACAAGGGCAGCTGTGCTCTCAAACCGGTAGCAGAGCAGGGCTGGGCCCTCCAGTGCTCCTCTTCTGCCAGCACATTTTCATCAGAGGTCAGACATGAAGCACACCAAAATCCACACAAATAACAAACCTCCAGTAAGGTCATGACAACACTGCCATCCCCACAAGGAGAGTGCCAGCGTGCAGACACAATCCTCAGCAAAAGCTGACTGCAATACGCAAACTCCCCTCTCATGGTGTCCTTGCATTGGGCTGTGCCCAGTGCTATGGGTAGTAACTCACACCAGCTCTAGTGACCATGACAAGACAGAGAGACCAGTGGAAGAAGCTTTTTGTACTTGACTTCTGTTGAGTCAGAGCATTCCTCCCTTCAGCCCTCTTCTGCTGCACACTCTCCAGAGAGGAAGTGAAATGTTAATTCTCCCATCACCTCTTTCATGCTTTCAGCCTTCAGCCAAATGTCCTCACCTTACTGTATGAGTCAATTTTCTGATTCTTTTCTTCCTTTGAAAAGGATTTAGAGGATAAACCCTCATTAATATTATAATTCTTATTAAGAATTCCTTGCTAATGAGGGATCTGCAAAACACATGACTAGACTAATTTGTACAGCGCTTGTTCTCAGCAATACCTGTACTCTGAAGTTCTGACATCCATCAACTATCCAAAGCACTAGCACATATCTTTTTCTGGTATAAACAGGCACAACCCCATTTCCACAGACTTCAGGAGACACAGGACAACTACATTGCCAAAATCCCAGCTTGGCTTCCTGGTTCTACTGCAACTGACTCATTTCTCATTTTTTCCAGCTACAAATAGGCAGCTCCTGAGACCTACTTCTGTTAGGATCTTCCCACAAAAGCAGAAAGATGGGTGGGTGATCATGCTCCACCTGCTGCACAGCTGCTCCACCTCCATGAGCACAACACATTCAGCAGTCACACCGTGGCAGTGACAGTGTGCTCCCACTGATCTTGTTCCAGGGCACAACTAAGGAAGCAAGGACCCTCACCAAATGTCTGTGTGCTGCAGGGAACTTGAGCAAGCTCATGATGCTTTATGTTCCCCTGGGTAACAGGTCTTATGACACTGACATGCACCAACGGGGGCAGTTAAGTCCTGCTCCTCTTTTGCCTTCCTTTTCCACGCAAGCCTTTTAGATAAATAGTTCTCAGAAGCACATCACAAGCATACCACAGATGAGGTAGAATGCAGAGGCAAAATAATTCAGCTCAGTCCTACCCATGCTGGCTCTCTTCAAGGCTTCAGACTCTCCACATGGAATCTTGCACCTGCAAGCACTAAGGTGCAGAGCCAGTTCACTGGGTCTGGAGGGAGCCAGGTCCATCATCTTCCTGGCTGTGAGCATCCCTTCAGCTCCAGCATGAGTGGGAGGGCAGAGGTAAAGAAGTGGAACAGGGACTCTTCCAGCCAGAGCCAGAGAAATTTAAATTCAACAAGGTACAAGCATTGTCAATTTTTAAGTGAGGACTGCTTACAAAATCATCAGGAAGAACTGCCATAAAACTTTTCGTCCCTTACTCTGCAGTTGACTTCTACTCGAACCAATGTGGCTGCCGTGCTGCCTGCAGCAGTGAATTACACTTTATGTGGTATTTTGCCCCTGATTATTAGGTTCCTATGTTCCACCCATCCGTACACCAAGGTCTGCAGCTGCTCCCCTTCTGCCATCAACACAGCAGCCCCTCTAGTGTTGACTGCACCAAATGGAAAGGCTGCCCAATGACAAGGAAAGACTCCCACACAGTTCAATATATTCTTTGGCAGAAGACTGAAATTTAAAAGCATACTAAATTCAACTACTATTTGTGTAACTGGAATATCCTGGTTACAGAGCTTGTAACCACAGCAATCACTTAAACAAAGCTTTAAAGAAAATATTCCCTAGTTTTTAAAGTACTGATTCTAGTTTCTGATTCAGTTTCTCAGTCTTTCTCGTTTCTGACCTGAGGTGCTGTCTGCCTACAGGTCTTATAAAAGACATGGAAAAGGAAAAGCCCGGCTCAGTATCCTCAACCAGTGTTTGTGTCTTGTACCAATTGAATGATGCTTCCTAAACACACAAAAATGGAAGGATCAGTTTATCACGTGGGGATTGGGAAGTCTGCAAACATTATACAAGTAATCAGCTAGCAGAGATGCTTCTTAGAACAAGTCCCAGGCAATTAAACTGAGCCTACATTAATCACATTCCAAACATAAAGTATTACTTCAGTTGGAGCCAGACTCATTTAAAAGCTCAGGTCCTGAAAGAAACACAAAATAAGGAAAAAAAGGCTGAAGTATTTGGCAATTGGCAATATGTATTATTATTTAAGTCACCTTGATTTTTATGGCTGGATTACATTCTATTCCACAGACCCCATTCCAGTTACCATTCTTGTATTAATAAAAGTCATGCAAGCATCACATTGATTTGTTATTCTCTAACCCTATCTTGATAACCAGGGAGAATTTCATTTTGAAAAGATCCTGCCAGAGCTTTTTATTTTTTTCAACTGCTTGTTAAATGAGTACGTAGCCAGGAAAATGGGACACAGAAGCCGTAAGATGGATGGGATCTGCATGTGTGTTTTTCTCACAAGAAAACAAGTGCAGCACATGTTTAACAAAAGGGAGTAGCTCCAGGGCTACATTATATAATGGAGCCAAATGCAAACTCTCGAATATACAGTACTTCAAGCAGGTACATTACAAAATGGAAAGTAGTTTCTTCAAAGGAGGAAGGAGCAAATTTCTTCTTGAAGCATGACTTGAGAGTTCCTCCTGGATGCTACCACAGTTGGTTTGCCTCTGCAAGCTTGGCTCACATGAGCTTCGGATCAGGTGGTCTGTGGGTTAAGGAGCTATACCAGCTGCTTTAGCTTCTCTTCACATCCCATTGATGGTGGTTGGACATCAGTGAATGAAAAGCAAATGTGCAGGAAACTCAGTGACTAATGCATGTATTTAAGGCCAAAAAATACTAATGTAGCAAGTCAATGACAAAATACTGCAGCAGCAGCTGTTTTGGAAAGCCGGTTTTGTTTTATAAGGCCAGGTTTTACTAGCATCACAATGAACAGAAATTGTTTCACAGAATACTGTAGGAATAGAAATTAAATACAAATATATTTGTGTGAAACCTGGACATGTATTTTTAGGTGCAAACACCCACATGCATATGCAGTCTGAATAGTTCATTCCCCTCCTCTGACACAATCAGGGATGCCTCCAGCAGAATATGAGCCCAGGCATGCTCCTAACCCAATTTGCCTGTGCCACCCCTATTTTACCTACATACCATATCATGTAACAGCTTGAAAAGTTTTCTTTTCTGAGACATTTTCCTTTCTCTACATTCTCACAATGCTATTCAGTTTCTTTTAGCAACACAGTAAGTACCACAGAAGATCAAACCTCAAGTTCTGTAGTTTAGTACTCAGTACCAAGAACTGCAGTAATTAAGCAAGGGGAACAGTCCCCCTGAAATACTAGTTATCATTTAGTTTTCCCACATAGGCTTAAGCGTTAAACCATTACCCATTATTGTTTCAGTAAAATATCGATATGGAATTCCCGCATTCACTAGCAATTAGCTGAGGGTAGCTTATTTATATTTTCACCTCATGAGCAAATATTCATATTTTAAAAAGCAGCTATCCAGAGTGCTTTTCACAATTAACATACGGGTTGTCAGTGTCAGGTTATTCAAATCAGCCATGGCACCTGCTTCCAAAATTAAATGTGCACAGCTAGAGCTGGCTCTTTCAGCGTTCCCAAATCTCCAAATCACACCTCATCTCTCCTGAGCTATGGCCTTCCATCCCTCTCAGCAGTATTTGCTTTACTTTTCGTATGTCCAGATGGCCATGATCACTTATATCCTTCCTGAACTTCTCTGTGGTAATATGCAAAGGCTGAAAAATCACGCTGCAAGCACATGGAGCAAGGTTTGCTAAAATGCATGATTCCATGATTAGTCAGACTGCTGAAAAAACTGACACAGAAAGCAAGGATTTGAGGTCCCCTCCCTTGCAACTGGGTTTCAGAGATTACATGTACAGTCATAACATAGGAAACCCTTTTACCACAGTGCTATTGTATTGTGTTTTCCCCTCCAGAAGCCCTTCTGATATTTCACTGGCACCAGAGGGAATATTTCCATTAACAGACTCAGCCAGAAGTGAAGGATTCAGCACTCTGTCCTCTATGCAGCCTCACTGGCAACAGCTGGCATAGCACATGGGCGTTCCTGAAACAGCTCCCGCAGGACGTGCTGTGCTACACACGGAGCACTTCCAACGTCAACAAAGTGAACAGGACTTCAGTGTGGCAAGGTGGCACATCACATCACCCACCACCACCCTTTTAGGACAGCTGTCTCCAAAATTATTACAATTAAGTTTCACTTTAACTGACACCAAAAACCTGGTTTTATTGTGCCCTTTAAACTTAAGGCAACTAGAGTAATTCTAGAAAGAGTAGGTGTAAGAAACTAGTCCAGAGAAGAACAGGGAAAGAAGAACCAACACCATTAGCTGTCTGGTATTTATTACTTTTTAATACAGAGAAGCCACAACAAAATATTCTCTAACAACACATGTAATTGATATCATAACCAATTATTTTAATTTCATCAACATTCATTTGCTATGTACATATTCTTCCATCTGCAAAAGTGCAATCCAAGAATGTCTCAACAAGGAACCTTTTGGACAAGTATATTTTCGAGGGGTTTTCTCACCAGTGGCCTTACAACATGTTTGTCCTTGGTTACCTGTTACAGCAAAGTGAAGAGTACATGGGGGGAAAAAGGGAAAAAAGAAAGAAATTGGGTTAGATGCCTCCCTAGTAGGAATATTCCCTATTTTCCCAATTAAACTCACGAATACACTGCTCACTACTGGAGATGTTAATGCAAATAGACTGTAGAATAGTCTATGGGCTGGCTACAGAACACTGTAGTTTTAATGACTCCGCAGCATTAGATGGAACAACAATTTTAGGCTGTTCACCTTGGTAGATGTCAAATTACACATCAGCATGTAAAAGATGTCCATTTGGTTAGTTATGGTCATCAGAATTTACTTGGAAACATCCTACTGATGGATGAAATAATTTTTACACATCCAAAATATGACATCTATCTAAATGCAAGCCTCTCCTATGGAAAGGAGAGTTAACTACTGGAAAGAAAAGCATTTGCACATGCAACTCCTATTACTATCACAAGGAGTAACGTGCACTTAAGGAGAGTAGAATGAACCTCCAAATCCAGAGATTTGGAGGTTTGGACTGTATTCTCGTTTACAAAACATATTTCAGGCAAATTTAATCTGACCACGGGTCAGCTTAAAAAAAACCACACAGCACCAGAAAAATGAAAGGTAATGAAGAATAAACTTTAGCCGAACAAGCAAAGCAAGCAGCTCCCTAGCTAGGGAAATAATTTCCCTTTTGACACATTTATAAGCTCATAACTACTTCCAATGCTTGTCAAGACAGAAAGCAAAGCCAATTGTGGTCTACTTTAACCTCCAAAGTAGCCATTATGTCCCAAAGAAGTTACATTTGCCCTTCTACTTAGGCAAAACTCTCATGGTCAGAGGCAGGGGCTGACTCCTTGACTGTAATCTGCAGTTACAAAAAATACTGCATTTTGCAGTAACCCAAGAACAGGTTTCAGCACCAGCAAGAAGCAGGGAAAGCCTCTACAAATTAGGGACAATTTACTTTGGAGTGAAAGTTCAGAGGAATCTTTCTGTAGCTCAGATGGTTTCCATCAAGGATCATTTTTACAGTGCTACGTGTGCTGCTAGCCTCCAGTTGAGAGTGTTTTGCAAGAAAATAGGCATTTCCTCAAGCAGCAGGTAAGACTCACTTAACAACAGAATTAAAAGGAAAAGCTGATGGAGAACTAAACTGTTTTCTTGGATAGATTTGTATGTAAATCCTTGTCACTGCTAAGACTTAAAATACGCTTCTCCCTTCCCATTTTCTCAGTCTGCTCCATTCCTACTTTTGACTTGGATATACTGTACAATCTCCCATACACTTGTGTTTTTAAAGCTGGCCAAATTCCCTTTCCTCCACATCTACTCATTCTCGATTGTCACACATACATGTTTAGAGAGACATCTAAGAACTTAAAGAACAGAATTATAAATTAAGCTACTCTAAGGGAAGAAAGTGAACAAGCATCTAGGACTCCAGATACCACTTCTCCCCTACCATGTGCATTGTACAATGACACCTCCCCTCATCAGTGCACGAAAAAGTGGGTGCACAATGCCATTAGCCTATGTGGGAAGTAACACCCTAGATTCCCGGCATGTGTGACTGGCACTCAAGACCGAACACTAGAGGAAGAAATGTATCCTTTAATGTTTCTCATTACAGGAGCTTTGTCTTTGCTGCATGATTTCAGGCTGCTAGGGCAGTCTAGCCATTGTCTGTCTGGTGTGATTCTCATGGTACTGCCAGTAAATGCAACTCCAAGTTTGTTAGCCACCCTAACTCCATGAGCCTGCTCAGTGCACCATCAAAGCTGAAGAGCTCATCCTTCCCAAGGAGTTGATCCAAATTATAATTTCATTGCCCTCCATAAGGGAAGTCTACACTGCACAGCTAATTAGGTTTTATCTCCTAGAAACCTTCTTCCAGCCCAGGTATGCCCAGGCCAGCTCCTGCTCCTATGAACAATTTTTACAGTGCTGGTCCCACTGCAACTGGGCTTGGTGTAATGTTGTGGTAGCCATGGGACAGTGTTAGAAGTCTCTCAAAGTCCTTCCCATAATTCTCCTTGAAGAGGAAACAGGGGACAACTGAACAAAACCCAAGGATGTGCTGCAGACCCAAAACCAAGCTCAGGAGCGGTGACTGAAGGAGAAGAGCACCAGTGAAGAAGGCTACCACAGCCTGCTAACACTGCTGTTTAGACTAGCAATGGATCACATGAGCTGGGTGGCTTTTAAGGACATAACCACTCAAGTTAGCAGTAAGTCACTTGTGCCCACGTAAACCCTCTGTGCAACTTGAGTATTACTCAAAGAGTAGCTAATGCTAAAACAACCTAATTCTGCAGTGAAGATAGCCAGGAAATAAAACCGTGAACTTGGCATTTTTACACTCAAAGAAATATGGGTATTCAGCTTGAGTTTTATGTGCATGTCCATTTCTTAACTTAGCAGAAAGCATAATTCCCAGTCCAATACAGGAAAAACTTTCTTGGCCTCTGACTTTTTTGTTTCTTTCCCAGTGCGGCAGAGTATCAGGGCCATTTTCAAGACCGTGATTTTGACAGATACATTCTTTAAAAAGATTCTAATTTGGAAAACAAAAAAACTTAAGAAAAAAAAAATCCCATCTCGTAAACAGAAACAACCCCCAAACTTCTCAAGTGGACAAACACGTCATAAATACACTACAAAGAAAAGCAAAAAAACCAAACCTCCCGTAAGTCTCAACTGATTTGAGAAACCAAGCAAAAGAATAATGACCTATTTTAAAAAAATTTATTTAAGCAAAGGAGAAATGGGAATCAAGAAACAACAACTGCAGAGTCTACAGGGCCAAACTCTCTGTTACAAATTCACTGCCTAATGCAGTCTGTTATGTACAGCACAGAGGCATGTAGAAAGTAAATATGCTAAGTTTGCTTTCTTAAAATGTCTCCACGTTTTTAGATCCTAAACTGAACACAATTCTGAAATATGAAGATGCAGCAATTAATTGTTTTAAAAAGTGATGTCATGTTTTGTACTCAGTACCTCTCAGCTCTTACAGATCTGAGGGCCCAGATCCCACTTCATGGTTCTCCTTCCACATCAGTCACACCAGTCTAGAGCAGGCAGCAAAGCCTCAGCCCCAGCAGGCACGTACAAACACATACCCACTCAGCTCAGCCAGTTCCTTCTCTAAAATGTCTGTGAAGAAATACCTTTAAATAAAGCATTTTAAGATCTCCAGCTTGTTTTGGTATGAGCAGATGACCCAGCTGGGCACATGACAGCCCCGTTGGAAGCAGCACTATTGCCATGAGGGCAGTGGACATCAAACACACATAGCAGGAAGATGCTATGCCAAAACAAAAAACCTCATTCAAGATTGCATCTGCTGGCATAATTTACATTCACTTGTCATGATACCCTAGTTTACTCCTGTTTTGGGAAATCTGAAAGAAAGCCTGCTGAGGGGACTGGCAGGACTAGCAGCATAGAGCCAGCTCCGGCGCCTGTGAGGACCGATTAAAAGGCTGAATGAATTCAGCACTAACAGAACCATTTCTTTCCAAGGATTTCCCATTTTCACCAAGCTGGAGGAACGACCCTACACAACTACCCATTTTTCAACTGGACATATTTCTCTGTCCTGTATGTCTCCCCATACCCTTGCTATAAACTGTATTACAATTATACAAAAAAATAAACCCAAATCATTTTTAGCTGATCTTTACCCCATACTTGGGGTATATTCAAAGGCCATTAAATTGGCTTGCCTCCAACCTTCACAGAGATCATGTCAGGAGGATTCTGGTTTTAACGACATATATATATATATATATACATATTAATATGTACACTGACAAAGAAGCTGCTCTTTCAGTTAGAAAAGAAACTAAATTTCATCACAGAATGAATCCTATAAAAAGATATGTAATAAAGTTGAAATACCCATAAAATAGCTATTACTAAAGCAAAGCTTTCGTCAATAAGCCTCCAAAACTTTAAATGAAGAAAATGGCTTCACGAAGTGGTAGTCTAGATTTCCACAGTGAGGACACTGCTGGACATTGCTGTATTCAGAAAAATACTGCATGCCAATCCGTACATCTATTACTGGCTTCCCACAGTGCTTGCAGTTCAGTCGAGCCTGCAAACAACAAACAAACAAAAAACACTTTTTAAACAACCAAACTCACCTCTGGAAAACGAAGGTGCCAGAGGCAGCCCCTTGCCCTCCCCAGCAGGAGAATGGGTCAGTCAGGAAATTGGCAGTAATGGGATCTGCTAGCAAGGACATTCCTCACCTGGACTGGTAACTCACAGGTATGCACCATATATTTCACATTAAATATCACCACCAAATTCTGGAGAGTAGGTCAAGTCCCATTCTGACTGACGAGAGGCAGAGAATTTCAAGGTTTGTGTACACAAATGATTGTTTTGTTTTGCCTAATCTCTGAACCAATTCCTCAATCTCCAGCACAAGAAGTGCTGTCTCAATAAATTATTAATGAAGCCCCAAAGCACAGAGAGAAATTTTATATTTGTGCCACAATTCAACCATTTCAGCTGACACTTGAACATCATCTGTCCGTGAAATATATAAGCATTTTAATCCTTTGGCTTAACAAATGTATAACTCAATCTACTTTATCAGCAGAACATGATATTGTTGTCACCTTAAGTAGTTATTTAACCATTTGTAATACTTATCAGGATACACAAACTAAACCTCACTTCAAGCACAAAAACTATTCTACAAAATCAACTGAGAAAAAAGCAACATTAACTGGGTGGATATGAGAAATTAAAGGTCAAAGGTGAGGACAGACAGAGCCATTAATATTCAGCTGTTACAAAAAAGTGAGTCTTCAGAAGGAATCTAGCTGAGAAATACAGCCCATCTGATGTAAAGAAAGCAACAGGCAGCATGAAAGCTCAGCAGGTCTTTCAGCAGAAGCAGAAGGGATTTGAGATTGTAAAGGAGTTTAAGAGTAAAGGTAGCAAAAGAGCAAGGGTCTGAGCTGTACTGTAGCTTAACCTTACAGCCCAATACGCTAATGAAAGCTTCAGCTCTTCACTGAAATGAACAAAAAAGTATTGTCTATGGCCACCTTGATTTAAGGGATTTTCCTGGATGAGGAGAGGAGGAAATTATTAAAGTACTATTCCTGTTGAGACCAGACTCAAAAAGAAACTAATCAACAGCTTCACAGCCATCTGTTCTGCTTGAAAAGCAGAAATTCTAAGAAATACAATCTATTAGATTATGAATTTTTATTAATTTCTTAACCAAAATGTTTTCTCCTTTGCTGCTGTCCAGCACATCAGTTAAGTCTTAGTAACCTGACAGAGGCTTTATTCTTCATGTAAATTTGTGGTGTAGAATTAAATATTTTGAAATAAGGCATGAAATTATTCAAAATAAAATCAGCAAGGCAATTTGGAGTTAAATCATATACCATATTTAAATGTCATTCCTCTGTATGCATGGAATCACCTGTAACAATCATGGTGAAACAATAATGTGTATTATCTGGCAACTACAGTCACTGCAGTTAATGACTTTATAATCAGTTCTGATACCATGTACTGTCACACTGTCCATTAATCACGTAATTAAGGGTCTCAATGAGCTCTTAATTCTTGTATTATACATTCTACAGAAGTAATTCAGATTTAAAGTTGCTACCTTTTACAAAGATAGCAAGTCAGCATCAGTGTTTTATCTTTAAAAGTCCCTAGTTTTTAAAGTTAAATTTTCAAGAAACACTAAATTTGGAGGCAGAGTATCTGGCTGTAGTTATAACTGGCTATCAATGTCATCTTAACTAGCAGCAGAAACACCACCTGTCTTTAGAGCAACGCATTTTCGTAAATATGTTAGATTTAAAATAAATTGCCATTTTTCATATTGACAAAATGGTATTTTAGATTGCTCTTAAGTACGCACATCACCACGAAGTGAGCACAGTTTGAACATGTGCATCTCTGCGAGGCTCCTGTCCTAACCTACCAACAACACCTCTGTGTCCGAGCATCTGGAGCGGACCACTGAGATCATTCCCAGAGAAATGCTTTTTTTGCAGCTGTCTACCCCTACCTGCACAGCAGAAATGCTCTGTCCATCACAAAGACAATTCTCTTGAATGCTAACTAACCTGCTGTCTTGGGCACATGTCTACTCTGGAGTAGCCCCAAGCCTTGGATCTTCCTCACTCAAGGTATAGATTAGGTGAGCATTTAATAAAAACTACGTTGCTTCAGGCTGTGGTGGATGAAGCACCATCACCAGAGTCAGTCACAGCAAAGATTAAGGAGAGCTGAGTAATCTCCAAGCATAAAGACACTTTAGACCTTTCTGTTCCCTTGGAGCTTTTTTGCTACAATTATGATAAAACATGATTTATGAACTAAAAAAATCTGAAAACATGAAACAGCTGCTGAAAATGTGGATTATATCTGATGCTAGTGATGCGGCACTGGATTTAATAGCAAATGCATTTAAGGGGGCTTTTTTTAAAACCAAAAGTATTAACCATTGACCATTGCAATGCCTTTTGTCTAGCTATAGGCTGTTGTACCTCTTAAGACAAAGGGACATGGACCCAGCCAGCTTTCTTGTATTCCACTCATAGGTACAGACTGCAAAAGAAGGATGGAAGGAGGAAAGGGAGAAGAGATACACAAACCTTGACTTTATCATCATCAGCAATTTCACCTTAGAGTCTTATTTATGTATAGTACTAACCTGACAACAGGGAGATGCTGCCAGAATATCGTAGGTATACATAGTTCCCAGCTGATGCCAGCTTCCATCCCATCGGGACTTGCACTTGATGCAGATAATTTTGTGAACCCCTTCTAAGCAGTCTACACAAACAGCATAGAGGTGCATAAGCCTTCCTGTGGACAGGAAAGACATATCTTCATGAGACAAATCAGAAGATTAAAAGAGACACATTTTCTGCAATGTGCTATCTGATCTTTAGTGACACAAATCACACCTTTTTTTTTTTCCTTTATAAAGGATGAATGATAAAAGTATAAAAAGCTTCTCTATGGGAAATACATAGGATTTGACTAAAGCTATTTTCCATGCATGCAGAACTCAGGAATTAGTCATCACCCTGCCCACTCTCCCTTCCATCATTTGCTGGTAGAACTTAGCAAAATATTTTATAAAAGGAGTTGCTAAACCTCCAAGAACAGATGCCAGGTTAAGCTGTAAGATCAGCTGCTGTGTTTCCAAAACCAGGATTTTGCCCTCGCTTCATCCCCACCTGACAGAAGAAGTGAAGTGCTGAAGTTTATTAGCAAACTTGGTACAGATTCATTTCACAACTTGCCAGAATCTTCCAGCAAAGAGGGAACTAAGGATCTAATCCCCACAGAAAAAGCAACAGTTAAAAGAGTCATTTTTTTCATGTATTTTCTTCTGACCATTCATTAAGAATATTTAAAAACATTACGTATTACACATACAGAGTTTAACATGCCATGAACTATGAATATATTGAGCTCTATCATGACTTTAGGCTCTGTATGCACAATGACTTTCAAAGCCTGAGTTATATTTATTTTCAAAAAATCAAGTGTTTCAGACTTGGAAATCAAATATTTTCACTACGTACATGTGATTAAAATCACCAATGCAAAATCTGAGATCAAATTTCACAAAAAACAAAAAAACCCTACACAGATTACAAAGATCTGGCACACAGATTATTATGCCTGATTTGTAATGACTAAATTGATTTGTAGTTTAATAGTTGGTTATTAGAAGTGGGCTGACATAGAGTACTAATTCTGTAACATACCATATTTTGCACTGCTAGAAAATACAAAGCTAAGCAGTACTGCAGTTACAGATCAGCAACATAACAGGACTGTGTATAATATGTGTTCATTTTGGATTGCAATTTGTGCTCTTTAGCATCAAAGTACAGAACACATCACAAACTGTAATTTAACAGACACACATCCTGTATCTCTTCTAGACATATGGGAACAAAATATTAATAATTTATGATTAGTCTATATCAGACATTTCTGAAATTAATAGTTTGGGTTTTAGCTTGTTTTGGTTTTTTAAGCCAACTATTTTAGAAAAACAAGAAGAAAAAATAGACTCTTCTTAAAATATATATACTAAGTAAACATGCTAGTATGAGCTGGTAAAAATTGAGTTATTCCACACTGGCATAATTGGCTTTAGAAAACGTGATGCAATGAGACTAAAGCGCAAATATAATAAACTCTGTTCCTAAAGCAAGCACTTGACATTGGTGATGTTCAAATAATTCCACACACAGAAGTTGGGTTGTGCCAGAAGATACATAACTTTCCCCATCTGAGGTTATGCACTGTTTCTGCACATTAAGATACTACGTTTCCCTATCACTTAATTTTCAGGATCCTTGTTATAAAGGAAACAAGGCACCTGGTATCTTAAACCCACCTGAAATAAAAGAAGTAATTTGATGTACTTAAAAGAAAATAACAGTCTGGAACAGCACCTTACAGCTTAAAAATTTCATTTCAAAGCGCACTTCTGACAATAAACCATTTCACCCAGGACAAGGAGGTAAAAATTTTAACAATTAATTATTCACAGCAACTTGTCTGAGCAGGTTTTTCAGATATATCATCCAACAGTTAAAAAGTAATTAATTACAAAAAGTAAAATTTCACAGAGTTTCATTCTTAGTGGCAAACATTAACAAATGATGAGTTACATTATTACTAAACCAGCTATTAGTACTGATAAAATGACAAGCACCTTGTGCTTGACTCCCCACCAAAGCAAATAAGCATTGTTATCTCATATACGTATATTCTGTTTATCCTGGAACTTTTTTAGCATGTATATTTGCCTATTGTTTTTTCTCCTTGAACTATATTAGGCAAGACAGAAACAATAATGTCAGCATGAATACAGTTCAGCGATTTAGTGCACAGTGATTTAAGGAAAGGAAAAAAATAAAATACAAAGTTTGTTGAGCAAAGGAATGTTACGTAACATATGACAGTGCATGGGATATAAAAAAATTTATTAAAAGGTGAGAAACTTCAATGTTAAAATACCTCTCATTAATCACTTACCAACACACTTTTCAACATATAATTCTATGCTTCTGAACTCCAAACTATGAATACTCTGACTTATTTTAGCCATGCTGTCTGCCAGTAGGCTGCAGGACAGGCATGTCTAGCTGTATACCACCTGATCACTTAGTTCGAGCCTTCGGGAAGAGCTGAAGCTCATGCTAGCCCACATTCATTTGTTTCTCTAGGAGAAAAAAAACACATGCCTTGGTCTCATCTCAGAGCTGGGACATGATGAGGACACAGTTCAAACAGGTAGCAGTTTGGAAATAAGTCTAAAACCCTCACTACTATACTGCTGCTTCAACCTACCATCCTAAAAGCTTACCTTTACTATGTCCAACCTCTCCAGGCCAGTGTTAACATAGGTCAGACTATAGTCTTTTCCATATGAAAAAAATAACAGTTTGCTACAAAACAAAACCGATATTCTCTGGTCTGAAAGCAAATGAGAGGCACCTCACCCTCATCAGTGGTACAAATACAACTTTCACCCATGCTACAGCACTGCACTTTTAAAATTAAAAGGTTGATGTGTATCTTGGAGTAAAGTTCACGACAGATAAAGGAGCATGCAAAACAGACTGGCTGGAAAACATTCCCATGGTCTACCTAGAAATCAGATAAGAAATCTTTTAGTTGTAAACACAAACACAAGGCATGGACGTTCCTACAGAGTATTTGCTTTCTGTAATTCCTTCTAAGTGTTTCAATTTGATCCACGCGAGTACTTTGGACATTACTTTAGGCTTTACTGAACTCCTTAAAAATGCAGAATAGGGATGAAAATCTATAATGGAGGGGGACAGGGCACAGAAGGCAGTTCCATCATTTAATGAAACCTAGTATGACTGACAGACAACCTGTACCTTGAAGGTGACAGGGAACATCATATTCAATCTCATCATGTCTTGATGGGCTAAGGAATAGGGTCCCATCCACCAGCGGAAACTGTTCAAACACTGGCAGCGCCCTGTGGCATAGAGCACAGTTTACAACGTTCCTGTGGCTGGCACTGAGAGCAGCAAGGATGAACTTCCGAAGGTCCTCCCCTTGGCCCACCTGGGCATCGTCTTCCATCCGCACATGGAAAGTATTCAATTTATGCCTGGGGATGTGAGTGAGCAGCTCAGATAGATCGAGCCTTCTCAAAAACTGCACAGGAGCATCGAAGTGTCCTGACCTATGTGCTTGCAAGCCAGCTGCCCCATAATCAAAATGTGCATTCCTGAACATGCCCCCACCAGCCATGTTCTTCTTATGAGGCTCCAGGTGAATGGCGTTCTTCAAAAACTCTCCCAAGTATCTTGAGGAACGAGGCCCACTGAAGTGTGTGGGGGCAAGAATAGAGTAGCCAGTGGGCGGGGACTGGCCAGGAGAGACACAAGGTGAACGAACGGCGTAGCTGCCACCCATCACACCCTTCTCTTGGGAGTTCTGCCTGTCCATCGAATGCCTTCGCTGGAGGTCATTACTCAAGCCTTTCTGGGGCTTGTTGGCCGGCCTGCCCTTTTTGGCCTCCTCTGTTGACTCTGCCATGGACCTTCCCGTATTCTTCTCCAACACTGATTTCTTTTTCTTATCATCCTGCATTCGCTTCACCTGGTACCAGTCAGTGTCCTTCTTTAAATGACCCTGCCCACACCGACAGGAGCAAAAGCGAAAAGCCAGGTCATATCCCTTCTTGGTCCACATGTTTTGGCGACACTGCTTTTCGTTCCAGCTCCTGGCTCTGCCAATGCAATTGAACTGGACGAGGATGCTGCTTTCCCACTCGTAGAAGCACTGAAGGTGCATCCAAGTGCTGTAAGGACAATGCTCATTGTTGCATATAACCTTCTGGTAGTCATCCTTCTCCAGGTCCACTGGCCTTCCAAAGCTACAGATCAGTGGAGTAGCACAAGGAGCTTCTGTGGAAGATAAAACAGATACATTAATAACTTAATAGTCTATTTATTGCAATACTTTTTTAAAGACCATGACAAACACACAAGTTCTTATGGCCCATATTACTGAGGGGCCACAAGCACTACCTCTGAGTCAGTGCAAAAAGCAGTATTTTCCAAAAAGAGTTAAGCATGTGAAAGGAGATATGGAAATGCAGGAATAAAGAAACAAAACAACATCACAGTGTGTTTAGTATTCAAAACCAAAACACCTCACAAGCATTAGCCCTCCTCAAGCGTTTGCAGATACTGTTTCAAGACCTTAAGAAGCAAGCAGAAAGCTTTGTGAATGTTTCTGGAGGGTTGCTTTGAAGCCTGAGAGGCCACATGGAGAGAACACTGTTTGAAAAACAAGTAAGCAATACAGCGCAGCTCCACAATCACAGGGAGAGGCAGGAATTGATCTTTTCTTTGGGACTGAGCAAGAGACAACAGCTAGGGAGAGGAGGAAGCAGACTACTTTGAAAAGCAAGACAAACAGCTTATATTCCTAGTACAGAAAGGAGGGCCTTCATTACATTGCTTAGGCAAATACAGACTATGTCATCACCAGTGACATCCTGGATAGCTAAATTTCACAAACCAAACACTTCTGCAGCACCAACAGGTTAAAAAAAACAAATGCCACATGGTCTTTTATCATCAAAGTAGCAGCTTTTGCTATACCATTGAGCAAACAACAGTTTACTTCAATCATCTCCTGGCAACAAAGTCAGCTTTTACACAAAAAATGTTCTACAAAAATATGTTCTGCATTTATTGACTCATGACATTTTCTGGTCCTTCAAAAATACCCAGGACTACATATGACTCCCACTGCTGGCTGCTCTGTTGCAGCTGGGAGGCACAAAAGGGGCCGGAAATTTTCTATTGCAGTTTCTGTATGAACTTTTTAGATGCTTATTCAAGTATTACAAATATTTCTTCTCTGTATTTCTGTCTTCCTAATTCCTCCACTTGTCATGATCCTCTTCTTATGAATCCCGTAGTAAAACAAGCTTTAGCAAATATTCATGACTTCTGATTTCTTTCTAGAAATTTATGATTTATTACAATTTGCTAAAAAAACTTTAGATCCATACTTGGAAAAGGTAATCTCATCACTTACACGTGGTCATTACAAGTAACTTTGCTGACCTGATTCAGGATTTCTTAGCCACAACTACTGCATCAGGAAAAGCCACTACGGCTGTCTGGAATTTAGTTCAGAAGGAACCACCTTCAGAAGCTGATTTCAGAGAGGATGGGGCAGATTTAGATAAATAATTTGAGACAGTACAGGGAGCCATAAGGGAATGGAATCCATCATATCCGACTGTGGCATACACTGGTATTCATTTATCCATTTATAATACTCTACAATAGCAAACATATATAAGGTACAAAGGCTGTTGTGGTAGCATACAAATTGTTTGATCTGGGGAGAATCAAATGTGACAGAATATATTGCCAGATTGCAAATATGGTTGTTGACTCCTGCGACCTATAGAGGCAAAGATGCCCTGACCATTAAAGTAATCACTAGACCAACTCAGGGTAGCACCACACAGCTCAACAAATTCTTTGGCAGTTGAGGAAACACTGGATCGAGAGACAGAAAGAAATTACCGATCCAACATGGCTGTCAGGCTGCCTTTTAACCTCTGTATGGCTGCATTCAAATACTAGTAGACTCCTTCAGGGTATTCCATGGTCAAGTGCTGCCTCACCCCATGTACACAACACAACACAGTACAGCTCCCTGCTGTTTCCCTGCCTCAGCTATAGTTCCAAGATCTACAGCAGAGGTACAGAGAGCCTTGTTGAGAGAGACAGTCATGATCCAGGTTTTTTTTCCTTAGGACCTTAAATTTCTATCTGATAAGCAGGGAAAAAAAACATCACTTGGTTGCACTGTTTTTAATCCCATTCTTATCACTGCTAGCATAAATAATACGATGTAATTTGAAGTGGAATAATAGGTTTTACACTGCTACGTTTACTTTTACTCAGACTCTAAGTAACAGACACACTACCCATCATCACCTGTCCTCCAGCAGCAATACACGTGATGTTTTACAAAGGATCTTTACCACACTAGGTGTTTTGCTCCTTCCCAACAAGTTTTTGTAAAATGCTATAAACAAACAAAATCTTCAAGGTTACCTTCAGTAAATTCAAGATTACTGTATCTCTTAAGACTATTTATGTACACAGAAGAAACAGGCACAAATAGCACAAAAAAACCTCTCCTGAGCCACTCCCTGGAAGATGCCACATCCTTCACCTCTTTTCTTGGCCTCTGTTTCTAATGCCAGAAGTGGACCAATTGCACGGAGAATTTACTGCAACACTTTTCCTTCGAGGACTCACCTACAAACTGCAAGCAAAGCACACTGCCAAAAACTGTCTTTTAAAGCAGAAAAAGCCTATTTCATTTCAAAATATGGATATGTTCAGTCATTAAAAACACATTACCAAACTGGAGAGAACATAGACGAGAGAGGCTTTCCCTAGGGACTTTTCGGAGGTTCCTTCTATACCAGAGGTACTAACATGAACAATTCTCACTTATGCATTTCCTGTATTCATCTATTTTGATACATGTTCCTTACCACCACCACCACAAGGAGGCAGGAAAGGAAGAACATGCCAAAAATCCACTTGTACTCTCCCCGTGTTTCGGATAGTAAATGTTCTAACAATTGCAGGTATAATTATGGCTGACAGCTGAGAAAGTTACTATACAGAGAAGTCTAGAACTGAATGAAGACCCTACGCTTGTTCATCCATACTGGCATAGTTACCTGACTAAAAAAAGTGTTTTCTTGATTAGCCTTTGAACATATTTTTTGTTTTGTACACAAAAACATATGATCTCTAGCCCCCTGAGAAGTTTACAGACTCTTCACTATGTGGCAAAAAAATGAAATTAATAAGTGACTGAAATACAAAAAAAATTACCACAGCCCATGATTTCCACAGAACACATTCACAATTATTCATTATGATCATGTACTGGGTGTCCAGAGGCTAATGTAAGGGCAACCTTCAACATACTTTTTTCCCTTTTCCTAGTTGGTCAATGGAAGTATACTGTGGAATGAGATCTTTTCCAGCTTCTTGAGAACTTACAGATGTCAGACTACCTGAGGAACTTCCCATACAGCATAACTATGAACAAAAAAAAGCTTCAAGTTTTGGACAGTGATGTCTTCTTCAACATTTAAGTTAACTAGATGATTACTAAGTTTTCAGACATTACCTCACCTGATCTTCTATCTACCCAGTGTGAATTGGCTGGTCACTTAATCACCATAGCAAAAACAGGTCTAGAGTAGCTGGAAGAAAGCAAGAGAATGAAAAAGCCTTCCCCCTTCCAAAAGACACCAGTGAATTGTTAAACTGTGGCACTGAGATCACTTTGGAAACCATCGCTGCTAAGAGGAGAAGCTGGTCTCTACTCAGCTCTTCTGGGCACTCCCCTGACACTTCACTACTGTCACTTTAGCAGCGTAAGAAATACTCGGTAGAAAACTAACAGGTCTCTCTGCCATGCTGCCATGCTCCACAGCACGGTTTTGTGCCATGCCAGTCAAAGCACCTGCCTTCACTGATACAGATTTGCTATTCTGAAGTCTGCTCGTTTGCAGAAGGCCTTGATTGAACTACAGCAGTATTTCCACAAGAGAAACTGAAGAGCCCAGAATGGCTAATTAAAATTGTCTCAGTAGAAAGTTCTACCACTTCTGTAGTATCCCTGTATTTAAGAAAGCAAAAAACTCCACTACCTGAAAAGCATACGGAAGCCTCAAGCCAACATTTGGTTCTGCCTAACATTTCCATTTCCAGCAGGCCTATCTGTACAAAACAGACTGTACAGGACTGAACATCCCTTGCAGACTTCTCTCCATCCATGTCTCCTGCCAAACATAACCATGCCACATGTTCCTGCATGAAGAATAAATGAGAAACAGAAAACAGCTATTTTTGTGCAACTTTCCCAGTTCACGGCAACAGATATGACTTAAGAGCAAAAGAGACAGCATTCAGATCAGTATGGGAGCCACTTTTTAGCAAATGTGAAGACCTGTTTCCATCAGTTCACATCCTCGAAAGTGGTCTGGGCTATTTAATCACCATTTTATAGATGAGACAGAACGTTTATTACAATACTACAAAACTTTCAAAATTCTTGTTATCAAGCCCTTGTACTTCCCATAACTAAAAATGTCAAGAGAGATGATAATGGGGAGTAAATAGAAATTCACAAGGCCAAACTGCCCATCTACACCTGCAGCCCCAAGCTGGTTTGTCATCTAAATATAATCTGCTTCCAAGTAGTAGCTCAACAGGTTTCTGGTTTCCAAAGTTATGAAACTGAACTTCAGGAAAAATGAAAGATTACCTGGTATGAGAGCAGCATCCATTATTCCAGCTGCCCCTTCTGAAAGAATGCCAAAATAATGATAAAAGAACTTCTATTTAACTCTCAGTTTCAAGATGCATTTCACAGCCTAAGAGAACAAAGCAAGACAGAGTACAATTTTGTGTAGTGGAACAGCTTCAATGTAGGCTGTCAAGTTGCAACTACAGGCACATGCTGCTTCTTTCCAGAAGTTATGTTTCCACATAAAAAAAACAGGTTTTCTCATATTCCTCTGTAATGATTTGGAACAGTAATTCTGAAAATAGTTGCAAGGAGCAGTACATAAATTTCTTCAAAAACAGATGTGACATACAATATTCCACACAAACATACATTTGAGCAAAGACAGCTCATTGTTTAAACAAGGTTGTGTTTTATGTTTGACAGAACTACCACAAAATTAACTTTTCTTTCAAAAAACGAGGACATGACAGAAGATTGCAAGGAAGCTGGAATGGGTTGTTTGGCTTTTTCTCAGTTTTTCTGTTCAGGTTTATAAACATCAGTAAAAGCCAGGAACAGAAACAGACATCTGAGATAAACCTCTTTCAACAAA